GGCCTGTGTACCATGCATATTGCCATTACTATGATTCCCTCTTCCTTTTCTGCCCTAGTAAATTGTTTTCTATTGCAACCCATGAGTTTTGCATTCTCTTGGTTGATTCTCACACAGTGCACCAAGAGTGGGGTCAGTGAGTGAAGGGCTGTGTGGTGCTGAGCTGCTGGCAGCTGACAGCACTGCAGTCCTTGTGGTGCCAAAAGTGGGACCCAAAGGGTGCAGATCCCGACGCACCACTGAAGCCACGTGTGCTGTGTTTGGCATCCCATGGGGGACACCACACGAGGCATGGGCTGACAGAACTTTGGGGACAGTCAGTGACACTTGAGGGGTGATCGCCTGCGTGGGACACACAAACAGGGTCTGTGTGCAATGCCCTGTGTGTGTCAGCCAATTGAGGACAAAGCATTGTCACCACAAATGGGGGAAATTTGTCACGAGGTGGTGACATCATGGCATCCTGTCCCCAAGGGGAAATGAGATTGCCTCTCCGGCCACTTCCTGACCCCACTGCAGTCTCTCTGTCCCAGAGCTGCTCCTGCCTCATGGCAACAATGGCGCTGGTCCTCATCCTGGGTGAGTGACAATGGGGACGTGGTGCCACGGGGGTTGGTCGCCAGGTATCTGACCAGGACTGTGTCCCTTGCAGGTTGGTGGCTGGTGGCAGCGAGCAGGGCACAGGAACATGAGAATGGGGACAGAGGAAGAATGGGGAGAGTGGGTGGGGACTGTGTTCAGGGTGCCATGAGAGGGGCACAGGAGGGTGTGCAGGGACAAGGCTGACTGCTGTCCCCTGTCCAAGTGCCCAGACCCTCCCTGTCACTGCACCCCAGCCAGGGGGTGTCCCTGGGGGTCACTGTCACCCTGCGCTGCCACCTGCCCCGAATGCGTGCCTGGGTCCAGCTCTGGTTGAATGGAACTCTCAAATCTGACAAGCAAAAAGACAAGGAGCAGGATACAGCTGAGTTCTCCTTTGCTGTCACAAACCTGGAAGATGCAGGGACATATCAGTGTCGGTACCAGGTGTCAGAACCCCTGTGGACATCAGAGAGGAGTGAGCCCGTGGAGCTGGTGCTGACAGGTGAGGGCACTATGGACACCCGCTGGCCCTGGTGTCTTCTCCTCCCTGCATGCAAACCGCAGCTTCCCCCAACTCAGCATTTCCCTGAGCCCAGGGAACATGTGGCAATGGGGACTGATGTCACCACCCACCGCTGGAATGGGGGTCATGGTGGCACATTCCTCCTGCACACAGCTGAATGCTCGGACCCTATCCTGAACCAGGATCCCACTGGGAATACTGTGGGTGGGGTACAGAAACCCACACCCACTCAGGGGGGACTCTGGCCTCTGCCAGCACCAGTACAAAATCCTACAACCCCAAGGATCACACATTTGTGTCCTCACCCCTAGGGGACAGAATGTTGTTGGAGGTGACACCCACACCTGCAACCCCAGTTGGGT